TGAAACAGGCTGAAAGAGCGTTTCGAAACTCGTTTAACCGTTAATGACGTCACCGTTGCAACACCAATATGTAGCGTTTTAAAACGTTTCAAAACATTCCGTCAGAAAAAGATGTCTAATGTACCGTCACGATTCTGCGCAGAGCCAAAAATTTGTGCGTAGAACCTGAAATTCGTATACAGAGTGGTTTCGAAACCGTGCAAGGGAATGTTGTTAACGTGTTGGAACAAACCTGAGAAGTTACTACGTCATTCCAGAAGTTAACTTTTAGTTATTCTGTCAAAATAGTTTTATAATACCCGCCCTAGAAGAAAGCAGTTAGTTTGATTAGATAAGCTGCTTACGAACAAGCACTTTTCTTAGTAATGAGTTTTTAGCTGGGCTAAATTAATCGTACGCGCAATTCTCATAAGGATCAAAATATACTTTGAAATGTCAAAGTTGTCAAATTTACCACTAAAGAGATATCTCAGTAGCGTTGCCAGACGTACGACAGGTGTGGTATTTGTACGACAGTTTAGGGCATCTTCGTTACAAGAAAATCAATGCGTACGGTAGTACGGTAATGTACCACAGTTTTGAAATTCTCCTTTTTTTCTTATGTGTGTTGGCCAAATTGGGTTTGGGTGGAGTTTGGGTACCTTGCTTGACAACCTTGCATGTGATTATGATGGGTTATGTGATGTGTCAATTATGTCATACTCCCCTAACTCCCTCTCCATCACATTCTGGGCCTGCGACGTCACTATCAGCATCTTATAGCGATGACGTCGCCGGCAGACCTCGATGGAGTGCTTGCGATTTAGGCTGTTCTAGTGAGTTAAATTTTGTCGATTTTAAATGTAGAAAAGGTGATTTTTGGTCTGTTTTAACACAGAAGAAATTAAAAGCGTTTTCTCGCGGGGCGAATGGTTCAATTACGGTTTAAACCTCGGTTTAAACCAATTTGTAGATGACGTCATTACTTATGAACGCGAGAAAATGGAAGGTTTGAACCACAGTCTTATGTTAACGAAGAATAAGTTATGATTCCGGTTCGAATTTTTCTGATCCAGGTTCAATGTGACGTCACTGGTTCAACGCAAGAATGTATAGGTTCGAAACTAATTGAACCGGATCGAACAAGTTCCATCGCAAGAAAACAGCTTAAGTGTTCTTGATCCTCGAGTATCCCAGAATTTGATGGTGGGGGAGTTAGGAGAGTATAACACAATTAACACATCACATAATCGAGCATCAACGTTACAAAAGAATTTGTTTCAATTTGACTAAGTACCTACCCTACAAAGTACCTCAATAAATTTAATAAATAGTTTCATTTGATTTCCCGTTACTCCTTCCTGTTGCTGTAATTTTTAATGTAAGGTCTATTTTTAAGTTTCCACTATTTTGCGTTCTTGAAAAAAATCATATTTTTTCTAGTATATACTAAATAGGTATGTACCTACTAAAAATGTATTATGTGAGGTAATGTGTACCACAAGTATTCGTGGTGCGTACGTCCCTGTACGACAGTTTTTGAGCATTGTGTACCACACTTCCATATCTAGAGTCTGGCAACGCTGTATCTCAGTCGAATATACAGGTGTCTTAGCAGGAGTAAAGAGGAGGGTCAGATTCTAACTTAGTTCTGTCAACTCGTACGTGCAGTTTCTTTTGCAGAAGTTAGGTCAGCTGTCGGAGCACTCGGAAACTCAATCACTCGGTGGAAATTTGCAAATCGATCGAAATTATGGTATTCGATTATTCGATTTGTTTGTGATCGAGTTTCGTGCTTCCACATCAGAAAATTGTTACTTCGTAGTAAGCAGCTCAGAATGCCTCAAAAACACTTATCTAATAGTACTGCTTATTGAGCTGAAAAGTGTCTGCCATTTCAGCCACAGACCTCAACTCTTGGCGGAAAATGCATTAGCCCAGAAAATACTATAGGTCATATTTCTAAACGTTATAATCTTGTTGAAAATCACCTTTTTTACATTATTAAAATCGACGAAAAAATTAACTCCCAAGCACAGCCTGAATCGCAAGCATCCTATCAAGGCCTGCGGGTGACGTCACTAGCGTATATCGCTATTTTACAGGGATGGGCATCTACGCGTAAATAAAGATTGTTACGTCTGGTGTAAACAACGCGTAGACAATCAGGCCTATGATGTATCCTGTCCTGTTATTTTAACAGCTGTGTTAAGGCTCAACATCTATGTCTGTCTCCATTTTGACGTATAGAATAAACAGTGACAGATAACTTAACGTTGCTGTTAAAATAACAGAAAATGATACATCATAAGCCTGAATGTAAACTATCCGTGCGTTCGTTATTTTGGTCTGAGTTCTCCGAGCTTGACTTTACCGTTCGTTTATTTGAAAAGTGTACTCGGTGCAGCCTCATTCGCGTTCGTTTATTAAAATTTCTGACACTTTTATACAGCGTTCACCTGCTCTGTTCGCTCGCTGGTCACGTGATTACGGCTCCGCTCAGCACGCTCTGCTCTTTGAGCAAAATACCGAACGCAAGGTATGTAATCTATGTAGACAACGGGTAAAATATGAAGACAACGCGTAAAGTATACAATTTTTGACAGTTGGCAGACCTTTAAGGTTATGTTCCTGTTTTTGCTATGTTTTGTGTTTTGCTTTGTAAAGTCAATTAAACTGCAGATAAATGTCTAATTTGATACAATATAAATTTAATGCAATGCAAACTTTCAAAAAAATTACTCATACTTCAAATTTTCTGTTGTCTACATTGTCTACATAGTTTACATAGTCTACATGGAAAAAAGTGGATGTAAACAATACGTAGACAACGAGTAGACAAACCGCGTAAAGTATATTTCATAGTCTACGGCACATCCCTGCTATTTTGTATACCAAAAAACTGGACGCAAGAAAACGGCTATAGAGAGGCCTTTTCGGAAATGCTGATCCGATTCACCGGATCACTGCTGTACTTTACTTTGTCTTTTTTCAATCGTTTTCATTAAAGAAGTATAAAAAACAAGCAGCTGTGACCAGGTTGATTGGATCAGCGTTTCCGAAAAGGCCATGTCATAGCCATAGGGCGATTTGACGTTCTCTCAATTCAATATGGTGCCATGGGAATGAAAATGGAATGAACATCAAGTTTGCTATGCCCACGTCGCCATCTTGAATAAATGAGGGCTTATTTATGTATACGTCGATATATTGTCGATGCTGGTGCATATTGATAAGGGTCTTTCGAAATTATTGAGCATTGAGTTCATTATTGAAGTAGTAGATTATTGAGCAATCATGGGTTCATCAGAATGTAGCGATCATCAATTTCCTGATGAACACCTATTTTGTCAAATTGATAACTTCGCATCAAGCATAATACACACTACTACTATAGGATAGTCTATCCTCATAAGGCCTGTGTAGTTCACATCTTAATCCCCACCATGCCAAAGCACCAGTGATGACGTAGGCAGCCTTATAAGGATGTGGAACAAATCTGAATCCCCCACCACGCAGCATGTCCTTTCCCGCCTTGACGTAGGCTTTTTGCACCACAGGTTATAATTCCGTGGGCTTTTGCTCTATGCATACTTGATTTTACTACATCAATTCACATCTATAACAATTCTTTTTTAGATCTCGTCTTCATCTTTTTCTTTGCTTATTATGTTAATCAAATTTAAATATTTTTCATCATAAATTTAAATTCTAAACTACTACCGCTAGTGCAAACAGCTGATGACTCAGTTATGACGTCGGAAATGGTGACATACCAATATGGCGGCGATTACCAAAAACGAGGCCGATAAGCAATCCTTAGTCACGTCTATTATCCTTGATCCTGTAGTAGTAGTGTGTAACATCCTTGCAGTAGCGTTACGTCCCTGATGAACGCCATCAATTGGCACTTTGGCAGCTAACTTCACATCGTTAAACAACCTTGAATCCGAATCCAACCAATCCAACGACAAGAAATTCAAAATGGAGGCCAATGCCAATACAGACTACGTTTTATTGCGATTTTTGATTTGTATAAAGTCTGTAAAGTAGTGTTGTTTTTTTGGAAAAGGCATACGTTATGTATTGTACTTAGTTGTGGGAGCTGTTCTAATCGCGAAAAAGTCTCGTTTCATGCCATTCCTGCAGAGACAAAACAGGTTTTTAACGGAGAAAAACGATTCGCCTGTACTTTGTAGTTAGGGCTTCATGGATTGCAAAAGAGAAGAAATCTGACGAAATACATATTAAAAAAACAAAAAGTCACTCCACATAAACGGTGAATGGATCGAAGCCATATACTATCCCCAAATTGTGTCGATATCTTGAATAGCAGACAAATAAAATAAATATCAGGATTCAGGATTTGGTTGAGAAAAAACTAAACAGGAAACAAATCTGGATAGTACCTACTTAATTGTTTAGTAGGAAAAGGTTTGTCATAAAGAAATCATACCTATTGCCAATACCTACATAATTGCCAGAATCCATGTTTTCCACAAATAACTTCTTAAAATAAAAACTTTCTTTTTGAAAATACGAACATTATCCTTTCAAGCACTAAAAAATTACCTTGTAACACCACAAAATACACAAAAAACAGTGTTTTGATAAAAAAAATTGTGAAAATGTCCGGATGTTTGAATTAAATTTATGGCGCCAATTTTATTGTTTTTCACCTGGCATCGGCCGCCATTTTGATTGGATTAAGCGATTTCTGTTGTTTTTCCACTGACAGCTGAATTTTTGAATACGTGTTTTTTACGTTCACCGATAGAGGGCAGCACAAACAAATTTCCAATGATTTCAATTTTTAAGGTCTTTTCAGGAGGTTTTGTTCATTTTTATATCTTTACGGTCCATTATTTAAATTGAATTAAGATTATGAAGAATTTTTGAAAAAAAAAGACATTTTCCGTTACCGACGACGATTATGGCGCTTCAACGGCGATTGCTGACATTAAAATCAAGATAAGATAATTTTGACTTTTGACATTGACAGAAAAAAATTTGATATGGTGGCACACACAGCGGCAGATCCACATTAACCGTTTCCTCATTTTTAGAGTAATTTGCCTATTTTTCCAGTGTTTTTCGCGTTAATTATTGTATAATTAGACCATCAATCAAATTTCCAATACCATTTTACAGTTTTCTATCAATATACAATAATATAATCGCAAATAAAGCCTCTCAAGGTCGGTTTTACAATTTCCATTGGCCACAATCCATAATGGAAATGGATGAATTAGAGCATCAGCAGAATATAGAGCAGCACAACTTAGAGCAAGATGATGAGGCAATGGAGGGTGCAGGGGGCGAAGGCGACGTTGATGAAAATGTGCAGAATTTTGAGGAGGATGTCGGCATGGATGGGGACGAAGAAGGGACAGATGATTATGAATATTCTAGTGACAATTTTTCTAATGATTTTGGTGCAAAGAGGGGCCGAGGTGGTCCTGGAAGAGGCGCATTTGGGTAAGAGAAGACTCCTCAATAGTCAGTACCCACAAACTAAACTTTATAATATCTTACAAGCTCAAATAGCCTAAAAATGACAATAACTCTATCCTTATTTAACATTTGTATATTAGGCATTTATATACCTCAGCATTTACACTAAATTATCCATTATCCACTGGCTGTGAAATGGGTGTATTCAAATGTGAAATTTTATGAATGATTAATGATTATGCATTATGCATTAACAGTTTGCTAAACCCACCTATAGTACAAAATTGTTCAGGTTAAATGGGAACAAATAATTAGTAATTTACCTGAACAACTATTGCACAAAACATCCCCCCTTAGAAAGGTAAGTGCCGTGTTGAGAACCTGTCTATAAGTTTTCAGCGCCTCTAGTGACTGGGGGGGTAAGCTTTTGTAATTCTGGATTTATTGGCGAATGCAAAACGCAATTAGGGTTCCTTCGGTATCTTATTCGTTCCGGTGGATCGTTTGCACCATTGTTTGATTCTAGCGATTCAACACCACCACTTTAAAGTTTCTACCATTTTTTGGCATAAAATAATTGTGCCAAAAAGAAGAAACTCATAAAATCGGTAGTGTTGAAGCGCCTTCAAGGTAAAATTGACTAAGAATTAAGATAACAAATTTAGATATTTATTAAAGTTTGAAACAGAAAATATTAAAGAATATGGAATTAATTACAATTTATGCGAAACAGTTTTTTTTTCATGTAAATACATACATAGGTAGGTAATGCTAGTTAAGTTAAAGATAATAAGGACAGTTACAAGAAGTAATGACGTACATTTAACAATAGCTTGATGAAAAACTTAAATCGTAAATAAAATGACAAAAGAGGTCCTTTTCTCACAATCCAAAATCGTTGTTAACCTAACAAGTGAGGAAAGTGTTTCTGCACGTGATGGAAGTTGCACGAATGACAACAAAAAGCAGAGTTCGGACAAGCCTTTAAGTCCAGAAAATACACTTTCCGCGTGTGTTAGGTAGAAAGTTTATGTAGTTATACATAATATAAAGCTCATTCAAGAAAATGATTTCGCCTGGATGATAGAATAAATATTTTTGATAATAGTCTATACCCTTTACCACTAGCTTTAAGCAAAGACAACGCCAACAACTTCTCGTTCAATGTAAATCGTCTAGCTTTAGGCTTTTGGTTTTGAGTACGGACTTGGCTTAAAATAAAGCTGTATATCAATGGATTGACGTGGTCTACGAGCCTTTGAAATTTGGTTTATGATGCAAGTTATTCAGCAGCAGAAACTTTGGATTTAAATGACGACAACCTTCTACTGATTCTTCTTAACTTATTGCTGGATTCTATAACTTTGGAATAAAGATATTTTTCCCTTGGGGATAGGAATTTTTTGCCTAGTGACGTTAATGTTCTTTAAAATTTGGCATCGTCTCTCATGACCTGCAAAAAAAAAATAGATCAAGATTGGAGACGAGCTTTTCGCACATTTAGCTTCTAATTTTTCTAGATTTCGACTGCAAGTTTTAGTAATTAGTAGTCTTTTATAGTAGTAGTCCTAGTTAGGATGTTTTAAAATTCACCTACTCCCAACTGGGTGGTTATTCATTAAGCAATAACACTTAGGTACCTACCAATAAAAGTTTTAAGAGACAAAGTTGGTTGCTGACTTTTTCATGTTTGCAGATGTGATGGTTCCACTTGGTGTAGCAATGTCTGCCCGAATTGCAGAAGTTTCAGTAGATAAAAATTGACGACATGAAGGGCCTGGTTGATCTAAAACAGAAATTTCAATGATTCTACCAAAAAAGTTTGGATACACGCATTGTAGAATATGGTGTACCTGTATGTAACCAGGAATATTTTAATTATTGTGTCTCCTGATAAAGGAATAAACATTTAAAAAAACGAAATGAATAATATTAGCTTTGTTCCAACACAGCAGAAAACCGTACAATGTACCGTCACGATTCTGCGCAGAAACTAAAATTGTTATACTGAGTGGTTTCGAAACCGTTCATGGGACGATTTTTTGACGTGTTGGAACAGAGTTATTATGTTTACCTACCTATGTCAATCATAGTTGCGAAACTAATTTCTGAAGGCGTCTTAGGACTCTTCGACGAGTTTCAACTGTGTCGATCTCCACTTTTTGCCATTTTGGTGATTGTGGTTTATCAATTAACGACTCCTCACTGTTTTTGATAATTGGAGCTAAAATTGAAATTAATTTTAATGTTTCTGACCTATGCTCCTTTAAACCTGAATTCTAACACGTTGTCGTTAATCAGAACTATGGGGAGGAGTAAGTGAAAATGTAAGTACGTCTTTCTCACATATATCTAGTATTAACTTACCTTCAGGGAGATACAGCAAAAGCGCAGCATTCCATGTGAGTCCTCGTCTGCCTTTTGGATCGCCAACAATAAATTCTCGACGAAAATGTCTTGTTCACACTCTATAATTATTATAAGCCTTCTCGACACTGAGGCTATTTAGTAAAGGATTGCGAACTTTTTCTAGCCATTGTTTCATTTTTTCGGCATCTTTTGGAAACCGGAAATAGCTGCTGTATTTGGCGCCGCACCCCGGAACACAGCATTTCTGATGCTTTTCAATTAACAAACTGGGAGAAGACATTTTGAGATAATAATTATTGATAATTGATAGGTAATTGATAATTCTAAATGTTGGGAGAAGTTCAAAATTTAAATTTTGACGACTGGAAATGACAAAATAAACTTCAAATTTTGGCGCACGGTCCGGCAGGAAAAAGAAAACTTTAATAGGTTGATTGAAGCGCCTCTAGTGATTGGAGGGGAAAGCTGAAACGACTAGACTGACGTCTCTCATAAGACTTACATTTCTAAGGGGGGATGTTTTGTGAACTATTGTTCTTGTGGCTCAATCCTGGTTCAATCGTTCTAAAGACTACATTGTCAGAAGTGTCTATTTTTGTGTCAAAAAATAGCATCAGGAATTTGTTTGTCAAAACATAGAAAATCCAGTCTTGATTCTTTTTTTAATTTGATTATAGCAAAGGTCCACCAAGATGGTCAGGTCCAGGAGGCCCTAGAGACGGCCCACCTCCAAGATTCCGTGGAAGAGGAGGTTTTGGACCGCCACCAGGAATGTTTAGGGGACGAGGTGGCCCACCACCATTGTTCAGAGGAGGCCCACCTCCACGAGGTAAATACACAGTAGTTTAGCCAAAAAGATTTGTTTTTTTCTACCTCCACTAATGCATTACTCGGTTCGAATTGAAAAAACTTGCCAAAGAAATTATGATTGTCTCAAAAAAATTGCCCTACAAATGATCAACCGGTAATCTTCCTCTTATTTTGATTAGTCTCATGTTCTTGTTTGCCCTCAAAACAATAATCCAGCAGATCAAGAGCCCATTGATCAACTATAGAAAAATCGTTCAGGAAGTCAAGAGCTAGTGATAATCGAAAGTTGTATTCGCCCTTGAAATTTTTTTTTCCAAGAATCAAGTGTTGGTTATAGTCAGCAATCAAATTAGTCAAAACCAACTCCAACAATGACATCAAAAGTTCAAAAGGCAATTTGGAAGAGAAAAATAAACACATACCAAATTAGCTCGCAAATTAGGTAATCCAAACCCAAGGTTGTTTGAGAGAGGTAGGTAGCTTGGGCTGGAACTCTGTAACGGATAGAGACCGTTATCCCTATCACTATGGCACTTGCTGTCTTCTTCTTTCTTTCCGGAATCAACAGAGAGGGACTGTCAATAGAGATAAAGAAAATATTTCTATTCGTTACAGAATCCCAGCCTGATAACTTTATGATATCATTTGTGGTGCCCCAACATAATGCAAATCTCTATAAGGCTGAAGACACAATGACGAATACAAGGTACAAGAGACAGATACAAAATGCATTGATACATGTGTTAATTATATTTTTGTCTCTTGTCACTTGTACCTCGTATGTGTCTTCGGTCTAGGCACCCCAGATGCGTTATCAAGTTACCCATTACCAGGCAACCTATTAAGTTTAGGAATAGGGCGATTTCAAAGTTATTTGAGAGAGGTAGGTTGCCTGCTAACTTTATGATGTCATCTAGGGTGCCTCAACATAATGCAAATCTCCATAAGACACCCCAAATGTGCCATCAAGTTACCCATGGATTTGACGTTCTCTCAATTCAATATGGCGCCATGGGAATAACACACCTGACAACCATAAAGGCAAGTTTACATTCAATTCCCATTCAAATTGGAATCAATGGCATGTAATATTGACAGTTGAGTTGAAGAGGGCGCTTCTGTACTTGGAGCTCTTCTTTTGGCGCGTGAATAATCGGATGTAATTTTAACCTCAAAAGTCAAATTTGATGTGTGGTTTCAAGACAAGCTGACGCTGACACTTTTGAAATTATTCTTTAAGGGCCACTGAACGTTTTGGAAGATATTCTAACTTATTTACTGTTCATTGTTCATATGTAGTTATCTTTCCTTCTACTTAAAAAAAATGATTTAAAACTTTTGACATTTACCGCCAAAATTCAAAGCACTCCAAGTTCACTTGCGCCCTCTACAAAATTTTGGGGAACTTAACTGGATATTTGCTGCCATTGGAATTGAACCTAAAGGCACCTTCACAGTCTTCAAGTTTGTTATGCCCTCGTTGCCGTCTTGAATTATCAGCTGATTTGAATTGCCTACCCGCCTAAAATCCTACATGTCAACGATGTCAGAAAAGTTTCAAACTCTCAGCAGGCTCTGTTCAGGAAATAACTCCAAGGGCATAGTGCAAATTTTTCACAGTTGTCAGTATTGTCACCTGATTATATAAAATTAATTTTTCTATTTTGGTGTTATATCGAAGTCTTTTCGACACTAAAAGTAGTTTCGAAAAGAAGCTCTTTGTGACACTCCTTTTTTACTTATCGAAGGTTGGTAACACTGGCTGACTGATGGCCATCGAACTGTCATTCGCGATAAAAAATAATAGAAGATTTCTATATTTGGCATGTAGTGTTACCAACCTAAACATATGAAATCAGGAAATATGAGGATAAAATTTCCAAGAAAAGTGTTTTTTAAAATTAAACAATACCAAAATAGAAAAAATAGTATAAAATATTCGTTTCATAAGACATTTTATCGCACTCGCCCTTTAGAAAACTCGCCTCCGGCTCGTTTTCTAATATAGGGCTCGTGCGATAAAATGACGTCTTATGAAACTTGTATTTTAATGTACTATTTTCTATTTTGGTTTCATATCGAAGTCTTTTCGACACTAAAAGTAGTTTCGAAAAGAAGCTCTTTGTGACACTCCTTTTTTACTTATCGGAGGTTGGTAACACTGGCTGACTGATGGCCATCGAACTGTCATTTGCGATTTTATAATGGAAGATTTCTATATTTGACACGTAGTGTTACCAACCTAAACATATAAAATCAGGAAATATGAGAATAAAATTTCCAGGATTTTTTTTTTTTTTTTTTAATTAAGTAAACAATACCAAAATAGAAAAAATAGTATAACATATTCGTTTCATTAGACATTTTATCGCACTCGCCCTTTAGAAAACTCGCCTCCGGCTCGTTTTCTAATATAGGGCTTGTGCGATAAAATGATGTCTTATGAAACTTGTATTTTAATGTACTATTAAGTCTCGTGTTAAAAAATCTGCCATGTCATATCTGAACTCGCCCAGTGTATTGATAATCCTGCTGAAAGGAAACATGTTTTTTTAATGTCTTCTTGTACTTTACTTCATTTCTTTTGTCTTGAGGCGCTTGGCAATAGGCCACTTTCACATTTTTCAAAAACACTATTTAAATTATTGTGTCGGTCATTCTCGAGGTTCATTCTTATAACATCTGTACACTTTTTTTCCAAAAAGAGAACGCTTATTTTTAAAAGTCAAATTTTAGAACTATTGAGTAAGCGCGGGTTGGGAAAATGACGTCAGAGTCCCAAAAACGCGAGGATGCCGAATTTCGCATAAGTAAAGTGTTCCAAAACATAACTGCATCGAAGACTATTTTGTATTCTTGTCTTTTATTTACAATCAGACAAAGACAAAAATATCCGTTGGATACGCAAAAAAACTCCCTCTTTCACAATTCAGTACCTAGAACGTATTTGCGTCCTTTACTATGCTATAAAAAATAAAATAAAGCAGAGTTTATAATCGGTGAACTGCAAGGATAATAGACCCCACTCTACTACTACAGAGAATAGCTTATCCTCATAAGGCCTGTGTAGATCATCTTAAGCGCCCACCACGCCAAAGAACCAGTGATGACGTAGGAAGCGTGTCGTTTCTTGCCTTGACATAGAGTGTGCGCCACAGGTTATGCTTCCGCGGGTTTTTGCATAACATTTTTTCGTAGTGTGTATTATCCTTAGCAGCAATGAACCTATAGTCTGGCAAGTGGTAAGTTGATAAAGACGGAAGGGGGAAGAAAAGTGGGGCGTAACCTAAGAATATTCACTGACACGTCAACTGACACCGCTTGATGACAGCCATGTCTTTGGGTTCAGTGGCACCGAAAACACCAAGGAAATGAACCAATGAAATTATTAGAATTTTTTTAAAAGTTTCGCCAATAACCACGCCACTGTGCTGTTGTTCAGGTTCTAACCTTAAACTCTAACCAATAGAATCATGCCTCTGAATAATCACGCCTCTCCACATCCATCATTTCGCAATGCTGCAAATTCTATTGCAGTTCGCCGTTTCGCTAGCCAGACAATAAATATTTGTCTCCATGTCAGCATCATAGGACCAAAATAAATGAAAAACTAATTAGCAGCATGTGAAATGTGAAAAACTCTATTTTCAGAAGTTTCCTAACGTGTGAAAAACTCTATTTTCAGAGGCAGTTGTAGGAAATAGCTATTTACCTAACAAGTGCGGAAAAATATTTTCCACAAGTGTTAGGTACAATATTTTTCCTACAGGCGTAAAAATGTAAGATTTTTCTTTTTTTTTTTTGACAGATCAGTGCGGTAAAATTTTTACCGCACCGTGCGGGAAGACTCATTTTCCGCATTCATATCAGTGCGGAAAATCGATTTTTCCGCACAGCTGTAGGAAAAATATAGTTCAAATACAAAGAAAATACCTGGTTTTCCCCGCACTAAAAATTCCACCCACATAAAAAGTTAAAAACCCAAATTTCGGGTAATTATCATCAAATTGACAACACTGAATTTAAGAGTTTATTTCCACTATTTGTTATTTTTACCTGCTGCGCACAACTGGTTTGATGATTGGACCACACAGCACAGAAGGTCACTTTTCTGCTTACAGTTTTTTACATTATTTTTACTGTGATTTTTCCTCGTCTTCAAATTCTGCACATGATTTCAATGCCAAAACCTCTAACCAAAGCTCCTCTAACCTGAATTGAAAAAATCTTTCCCTGATGAAATGTATGTTATTTATTGGAAAATTGAATTAATTCAAGGTCCACCAGGATTTAATGGCCCACCACCCAATTTTGGAGAAAATGGACCTAATTGGGGTGGTCCTAGAGGACCCCCACCGTTTGGAGGCCCCTTTGGTGGAGGACAGGGATTTTCAGAATCCAGACCAGAACAACCACCTGCTTTGGATCCTAATGCAGAAATTTGGGTAGAAACGAAAACTGCCGAAGGAAAATCATATTATTATCAGGCCAGAACCCGCGAGACTACTTGGAACAAACCTGAAGGGCCTAATATTAAAGTTATTACACAGGTTTGTGTGTGTTTATTTTAAATTTAAATGTGTTTCTATAATGTTTTTTTTTTTTCATAGAGTGAAGTTGAAGCTATGGCTCAATCTGCTACCACCAACACTCTGCCACAAAATACCTCCACTGCTGCCCAGGCCGCTCTAGCACAAGCCAGTGTTACCAACAAACCTGAAAGTAAATTGAACAAAAATTTGTTTAAACTGTTTCCCATAAATATTTTCTTGTAGATGACGATCTGAAAAAAGACAACAAACCAGCAGGCATGATGCCACCAGGTATGATGGGTCCGCCGCCAGGCATGGGCTACGGTGGCCCTCCTGGCTTTCCACCATTTGGAATGCCACCGTTTGGTATGCCACCACCAGGACAAGGCCCACCTGGTTGGATGCCAGGTGCGGCTCCATGGGCTATGCCACCTGGACTGATACAACCAGTGAGTGTCCCCAGTGCCCTGCCAGCTATTAATGAAGCAGAAATTTTGTCAAAAATTGATCCTAGTATTATTGAAAAAGCTCGAGAATGGACAGAGCATAAGGCACCCGATGGACGGTTTTATTATCATCATGCTAAAAAAGGAGAGTCTGTTTGGGAAAAACCACAAGCCATGAAGGATTTAGAAAGTACCTACTTTGAATATTTTTGCATAAATTGTTATTTATCAATTAATTTTAGATGCTAAATTAGCTGCAGCCCAAGGAATATCCACTAGACATCAGCGTAAAGAGGAGCCTATGCCACAATTGCCATTATCTATTGTAGAGACAGGTAAGACTAGTTCGCAGGCAAATGGAGATGTGGCTGACAAAGAAGAACCTGTAAAGGACAAAGAAGCAGAGGCCAAGGAAAAATTGGAAAAGTTACAAGAAGAGATTAGGAAGAAGAAGGAGGAAGAGGAAAAGGAAAAAGAGAAAAAAGCTCAAGACAAATCTAGGCCTGTTTCCAGCACACCAGTACCAGGAACACCTTGGTAAAAAACAACCTTTTCATTAAAACTTTATAATAACTACTATTGCTTTGTTATAGGTGCGTTGTTTGGACAGGAGATGGCCGAGTCTTTTTCTATAATCCCTCTTCGCGTACTTCTGTTTGGGAACGTCCTGAGGAGCTATTGAAACGCACTGATGTGGATAAAATGGTTGCTACACCCCCTGAAGTTTTGGCCAACATCAGTAAAGTAGAAACTCCAGATAGTAATAAAACATCCGCTGTGAAAAACAAAAGGTCGTCAGACGATAGTGAGAGTGATGGTGATGCATCACCCGCGAAAAAGCCTAAAATTGATATTGAAGAACCAGGTAAGTTGTGTTTATAAGAAGTTTTTTTTTTGTGTATTATAGTATTATATTTATACGATGAAAATTTTAGCTTCCAATGGAAATCAAAGTACCAAGAAAATTGACATAGGTAAAGAGGCTGCCATTGAAGCTGAAGTGAGAGCTGCTAAAGAAAGGGCTGTCATTCCACTTGAGACAAGAATATCGCTTTTTAAAGAAATGCTGACTGAAAAACAAGTTTCTGCTTTCAGTACTTGGGAGAAAGAGTTGCATAAGATTGTGTTTGATTCTAGGTAAGAGGCAAGTGCTTTTTCTTTCAAAAATAAAAATAATCTTTTGTAGGTATTTGCTTCTGACATCAAAAGAAAGGAAGCACGTGTTTGAAAAATACGTCAAAGATAGGGCAGAAGAAGAAAGACGCGAAAAGCGTAATAAATTAAGAGAGAAGAAAGATGCCTTCAAAAAAATGTTGAGTGAAGCTCATTTACATGGAAAGTGAGTAGAAGTTGTCTTTTTGTTTTACACTTAATACAATGTTGTTTCATCTTCTAGATCGTCCTTTAGTGATTTTGCACAAAAGTACTCCAAAGATGAACGTTTCAAGGGCGTGGATAAAATGCGTGAAAGAGAGGGCTTGTTCAATGAACATCTCATTGAAGTGCGCAGGAAAGAGAAGGAAGACAAGTTTCATAAAAGAGAAACGGTATGTTTTTGTTTATTTTATTTCCTGTGAATGGTTTTTTTTTTATACCATTTCGGGAATCTGTTATTCCATCATTGGTTTGTTGCAAAATAGATGGTTTCGTTTTTTTTTTTATCATTTATTTAGGGTCGTCCATTGATTCAATGAATTTGTTGTTCATCACAAGTTGTGACTTTGGTTTGGTAATGTATTTTATATTTAAAAAAAAATATGAGTGTTTCTTCCAGGAGTGAGTTTGTTTTTGGATTGTTTTGGTACAAATTCAATAAATAATCAATTCAAAAAATCCAAATACAAATTATCAATTATTTCAGTGTTTACTTTTATTAAATTTGAATTTTTGCGAAACTTTTCTAAAATCGACAGTGTTCTCTATCTAGCTTATCGACCACTACTGTGCCGCTGTTGTTGCCGCTTGAAGTTGCTGTCAAAATCTGTCTCTGTTGCACACACATTTCCTCCCCATCAGTATTCAGGCACCAGTATGGAGCGGGAACTTAATTTTATTTGACGGTACATAAACAATATTTAAGACAATTTCTCTGAATTTTTCTCTATTTGCAAATAGATGTTCATACAAAATTGTACTAACAGAAATAGTAATACAAAAATATTTGTCTTAATTCAGGATTGATAAAAAAAAGAGGTTTGGAATTTTAGTGTTGATAGAAACTTTGGTTGTCAATTTCTCAGTATTCAAATTATTTTGCAATTATTATCTGAGGAATTACCACCAAACTTTTCTAGCACCTTATTTCAAATATCAAAACAGCTCCTATTTTTATTTTGAAAAACGTTTGGACCATTTTCTTTTCTATTCGTGTTTGATTGAATATTGCCAAAACTAATCATAATTTTTCTTTCAGCTTCAAGACGTTTTGCTACATTTTCATGTACTTTTTTCAAAAAATTATTTTATAGAAATCTATGAAATTTTGCAGAGTTTGTATTGTGAAAATTCAATAATCATAAGATCTCTTTCAGAAATAGGTAATATAGTTTTTCATTTCAGGATTAATAAATGTTTTTTTTTTTCAGCCCTGCGACGGCGCACATTCCAATATTTTAATAAATAATTCTTCATGGTCCAAATGCTACAATCTATCTAAAAACATACATTTTAAAAAGGAATATTAGTCGATAGATGAGCTTAGAGCGCTTTCCAAAAACCATTCTCATTTTATTTGTGTATTTTACAGGTCAAAAAGGACTTTATCGCCATGCTGCGTGAACACACGGATATCGATCGGCACTCGCACTGGTCCGACGTCAAGCGTAAAGTCGACTCGGACGCACGTTACAAGGCAGTGGACTCGCACGGCATGAGAGAGGATTGGTTCAGGGAGTATTGTAAAATGTTGAAAGAGGAAAAAAGACGTAGGAAGGAGGAAAGGGAACGGGAAAAGACCAAGGAGAAGCATAAGAAGAAGGATAAGGACAAGAAGGTAACTTTCATGTTTGGCGAATTTGTTTATTGTTATTTCACTTTTCATATCTATCCCCTGATTTATGTAAAATACTGTCCAAATATTGGGCAAAATCCAACGATAAAGAAAGAGGCACAATTAACATTGAAAATAGGTATCATCATTGCAAAAGAAAAATTGAAATGTAAAGAGGATCGTATGTCTGTGATATCAGATACAGCTTATCAAAGTATCTAGGTCCTGCTATGCTATGTATAGGAAATATCTGAGGAAATATCTCTACATAAATTTTCTTGAATATCTCGAAAAATACTAATTCGATTTTGACGTTTTTGGGGTCCTTTTGTAGGTATCAAACTCCAAAAAGGTCAAAATCGGATTAGTATTTTTCGAGATATTTAAGAAAATCTATTTAGGGATATTTCCTATGCATAGCATAGCAGAACCTACGTACTTTGATAAGCTATATCTGCTATCACAGACATACGATCCTCTTTACATTTCAAATTTTATTTTGCAATGATGATTCCTTTAAAATATTGAAATATGGTTGAAATTCACGGGGGCCTATTTTCAATGTTAATCGTGCCTCTTTCTTTACTTTCAATTCCAAATGGAGTATGTATTTTAAAAACAAAAGGGATGCATCAGGATTTGTCTGGAATTGCATTAAATACATCAGTTCCACGGATTTCACAGCTACTAATATTTAGACATTTAGGAACAATAAATTTATTCAAATTCATTCATCATTCTTCTTAAATCATTTTGTGGTGAACCGCCCCGGCAGTTTCACAATAGAAATAACATTTTAAATTTCCATTCTATGGTATAATGCTGAATGCATGAACATAAAATCTATAACTATATGGAAGTGACTATAGTGTTCTGAAAAGTGTGTATACGTATTAGCAACGCAAAAATCGGTCGATTTATTACATATTACATGAATAATGTAATTATTAAATCAACGAATTATTTGAAGGTCAAAGTTTTTGAAACCAGTTTTGCCAAAAGGTGAGCTATTTATTTTCTTCCAAACCTCAAACTTTCTTAGTGTCTATGATGAGCATGGAATGCTCTGAGTGTAATAATACATATCAATCTACTAAAGACCAGAAATTGCCGTGCTCTGCTTGCGACTGCTGTAGAAAATTATACCGTAACACCTGCTCTGAACTCTCAACTTCTGAACTAAGGTGTATTGTGCTACGTACACGGATTCTAAAATTCTATGAGCTTGTTGATGTGTTAAAAATTGCCATTGAGGCTAAGGATGAAATTATGAGTAGTAAGGATGTGATAATTAATGACAAGAATGAGGTTAATGAACTATTGCAGGAAAAGCTGAATGAGTATGAAGAGAAAAAAAAAATTACCAAAACTTACTTATGCTGAAACAATAAAGATAAATCCCGAAGAAAGAAAACCCAAAACTAACCCACCAAAGGTTGTCATAAAGCCGAGGGTTTCACAAGACTTAGACCGTCAGATAGTGACAGATTTAGGTGCCCCATTTTTGCATACAAGCCTCGAAGAGGGTTGAAAAGTACATCGATTTTGAGTAGGATGAAGGTATTTTTACGAGTGGCTCCTGGGGATAACATAATGGAACATTCGATTTTACTTATGTTACCCTAAAATGTAATTTTCCATTTGCGACACTCAAGCCAATATGTTTTCTTGCTACCGACGTTGTAGATTTTCATGCTTCCGATGGGCTTGTGTGGAAAAATCGCCCAAAATCTCGATTTTTCCTTACAAAGTTTTGCCCTTATTCCAAACCTTTAGCCACCTGCAACACCCCCTTATTTGTTTTACGAAGCCAGGTTTAATTAATTAATTCTTTGATGAACACAGCTTGCGAGAAAATATGGGCACCAGGACGTCTTCCATTTCTGTTAGGGAAAATCGAATTTTCTATACGTTATCCCCAGGAGCCACTCGTAAAAATACCTTCATCCTACTCAAAATTGATGTACTTTTCAACCCTCTTCGAGGCTTGTATGCGAAAATGGGGCACCTAAATATGTCACTATCTGGCGGTCTATTACATTCACACACACTTTCAAAATTTACGAAGACTTTTTCACAATAATCAAATGAGTCAGTGAGATCTAAGAATTTTTGTCCCTGTCAAAATGTATGTTGAAATCGCCATTCAACACACACATATTTCTTTAGACTAAAACTCATATCCAAAATACTATCTGTAACATTCAAAAATATATTAAAGTCTCCATTGGGTGGTCGGTGGTTACTAATACATATTAGGTTCAGTCTTTTTATGTCTACCCTGGATGAACTAGTTGAGACATTATGTATATGTGAACTAAATGTAAGCTGGTAATCAAATATGATACCAAGATCTTTAATCTCATCAAGCCTATCAAGAGTACAGAGTCCCCAATGGTGTAGTCAAACATTACAGGCTCCTTAATCCGATGAAAACTGACTATGTTCCATTTAGAAACGTGAAGGTACAATTTGTTGCTTTATCCTGTCCATGGGAAAGCATACCTAACTTCTCCTAAATCATTTTAGTCTCCAAAAAAATTTGAGTCCCCCATCATGACACAGTCTTTATTATGACATCAGCGAGTAAATTACATTCCACCAATTTCAAGAAATTTAACCCTTGAAAATTTTGTTGGTATTGAGAAAATTCTCTTGCCTGTTATAGGAGAAACGTGACAAAGACAAAGAAGGCCGAGAATCGAAAACTGACGATTCCAAAGAAGACGGAGCGGAAGAAGACAAAAAAGATCAAGAAGATGGCGGAGCGTCTGATAAAGATCAGGAAGGAGAAGAAGAAGAACGCGGCGATCACAATTCAGAAGATGAAAAGGTAAAATTTTCCTTTATCAAGTAAAATTAAATTATTCATTTCTCTATTAGGCCAAAGAAGAACGTGACAAAGAACGTCAAGCCAAAACAGAGGCTAGCCTCAAAAGACGCGAAGAAGAAGTGCAACGTACGCTGGCCACTCACATGCGTGACAGAGATAAGGAAAGGGAACAGCACAAACGAGACGAGGCTAGGCAGCATTTCAACGCCCTCTTAGTCGATTTGGTGCGCAACTCCGAACTAAGCTGGAAAGAAGTCAAAAGAATCCTGCGCAAAGACCACCGGTGGGACTTGGCCGATTCTCTAGCACGCGACGAAAAAGAGAAGTTGTTCAACGAACACGTCGAAGCTCTGCTGAAGAAAAAACGTCAAAGTTTCAGGGAAATGTTGGACGAAACCGCCGAAGTAAATCTTATCAGTGGCTGGAAGGAAATTAAAAAATTAATCAGGGACGATCCGCGTTATACTAAATTTGCTTCTAGTGAGAGATGCGAACGCGAATTCAAGGACTATTTGAAAGACAAACTTATGAATGCCAAAGGTCAATTCAAGGAACTGTTGCAAGAGACTAAACTGATCACTCACAAATCTTTGACTATGTTGCGAGAAAATCAGAATCATATGCAAGAAATTGAGGATATACTTAAGAATGACAAGAGGTAACAGATCTGAGTTGTTTAGATGTAAAATTTATAAAATGGGTTTTTTTTTGTAGATTTTTGGTTCTTGAACACATTCCTCAAGAACGCACCCAATTGATTTTGAATTATTTGGAAGAATTGGATCGGAGAGGACCTCCACCTCCGCCAACTGCCAGTGAACCCAACAGAAGAACTAAGTAAGTGTGTGAACAATTCATTATTGTTGCATTTTTTTTTTAAATTGTTGGATAATACTTGTAATTTTAAATTTAAACCTGTTAGGTTAGGTGATCATGAAATTGATTGCTCAACAGGGAGTCTTTTTTTTGCAGCAATTGCAAACTAGTTCAAATCAATTTGACTATGAATTTTTTGGCCAATCGAATGGTTTGCGATTGCTTCAAAATTGTCCTAATATACATAGGTTTGATAAATGTGTTTTTTATATAATATCAAATTATAAAATATTAGGTAAGAACTATTAATAATCGAAATGTGGAAATTTTTGTAGGAAATCAAACTTTTTTTTTACATAAATGTCTATATTATATATTGACGTTTTTGTATACAGGGTCCCAACTATTTCATAGGGACAGCATTGATTGCTATCCCGGGAACGGTTAAAGTTACGAGGGCGTTTAAATTAGAAAAAAGTTGCCATTTTTGAAGAGTGTTAAAAATATGATACTTTTGAATTAGAACCATGTCTCTAAAATCAATAGATTTCAAAATATTTGATAAAATTGTTTTTGCAAATTTTCAAAAAATGTATTTGCGAAACTAATAGAAATTTGGCAACAACGGAAATTCATTTTTAATATTCTTCAGAAATGGCAACTTTTTTCTAATTTAAACGCCCTAGTAGCTTTAACCGTTCCGGAGATAGCAATACTGTCCCTATGAAATAGTTGGGACCCGGTATTTTAAAATGTGGCTCATTTTTGTACTTTTGTAATAATATTAAGGATGAGTCCCATTTGATTTTAATTCTACTCTAATATTTCTCATAGGTACTTATATCTAGTTTAATCCCATATAAATTGTACTATATTTGCTCCTAAATATTATACAACAAAATATAAAATGTCTTTCATTCAAGTCAAAATCCCTCTTACAGTTAATTTGGGTACATAACTGACAATTTTCTTAAAACTATCTACAGTACAAACATAACCGAATCCACCTTTTTGCTCATTCCTTTTCCAATTGATCCAACTAATTTTATCAGCAATATCCTCACAAATTGGCTGCCAATTAGTTTTATAAGGATTATTTTGCACTATAATAACCAACCCCTTTTGACTTATCGGCTCGTAAACCAATTTCCAATAAAACTCAGGTACTGGCAAAAACGATTGCTTACCATCATTATACAAATACAACTCAATTTCTTGTTGGGTTGAATTATGTGGCAACGTTGCAACACCATAAACACCAGTAATCTCTTGTATATTTACTTGATTGGCTTCAGCATAGTCCCTCACTGAAGCTTCAACCGATTTCCAATTACCATCGTTGTTCGTTTGCCATTGAGGTGCAGCATTTATTAAGAAAAATGTTGCATCTTGCTGGGCATCATAAAAATTGTCAGCTTTAGCAGTCAAATGACCTCTTGCTAAATAATAACTACTATGACTTTGAATGTATTTTGTTGATGTAGGCTCTAAGCCTAGTAATTTGTTAATTGTGGGTCTTTGTTTGGCTATTTTGTAATATTGGTCTACTTTTTTAATGTTGAAAATGCTGCTAGGGCCTTGTGTCCATGAAGGTCTTGCAGCACTACTTCCTTGACTAACTGCTGCAGTTATATTAGCTTCAGAATATAAGGCTTGTTGCTTTTTCGGATCGAAGCAAATCCTCATAACTGTCAGAAAGATATTGTTAACGTCAAAGCCAATATTGACTTCTTTTCCATTATTTTCGCAAGTGCGTCCAGTTAACTTGGCAGTTTTTTTTGCCTCACTGGCGCAACTAATCTGAGTCCATTGAACAGAAGTTTTATTGTTGATGTTTAAAAAATTGCCAGAAACACAAGTGGCGCTTGTTATGTTGGTGTAAGTTAATTCTGATCCGAGATTGATTCGACTTCCAGGACACACTAAGCGTAAAGATTCGTGCTTGGAGAAAGTGAAGCTGCTTTCTCCGGGTTCGGGATAAACAAATTCGTTTTTGTCGTAGGCTATGATCATTGGCGCGTCATCACGGTTAATGGCCAGCTGGCAACCTGAAAATGAGAATATTGGTTTTGGTTATCCTTCTTCTTCATCCATATAGAACTTTCAAACAAAGCCAAATACAGATGAAAAGGGAGGTAAGGCAAGAGACACTATCTCCTCAAAGAAGTTGGAACTATGGGATGTAAAAGGTATTAGTATCAATGGAAGACATAATGATCTGCCTGGAAGAAAGGTTTTTCATCAGTATAGTCTCAAGATCAAAAGGACCATGGGCGAATTTTGTCATTTTTGAATGTTGAAGAAAAATAATTAATAACTAATAACTATTATAAAATACTTATGGAATACGATATCACACTTATTATTGATTGTTAAAGATAAGAGAAGTAGTTCTAGTGTGGAAAAAATCAGTTGCAGGCACGTGAGGGACAAAGGTAAATGAATATAATAGATAAGTAAATTATTAGAACAAAACAGAAAACTCAAGTATTTTCATCTCAAGCTAAGTGGTCATATTTGATTATTTATAAAGGAAAACTTTTCCAGAAGTTACCAATAAGAACAGAAAAACAATGAGGATAATAGAATTTATACAATAACGATGGTAATGGCGAAGCTAATATTGATCTATAAGTTACGCTATTAGGATTTTTGTTCACATGTATGAGAAGTATGTGAAATTGAGTCCATCAACTTTCTGACTATGTGGATAAGATTAGATGCAGATAAAAATGAATTAGAATTTGTATGGTTATTATATCATAGCTATTGTTTATAATAGGAACATACATATTCAAAACATTGAACTTCTTGTTTCCAAACCACTTCCCCTTATTTGGCCAATAATAAGATTTTCATTTTAAACCTCAGCTTATAATAAAGCAATTAGACTAATAAATCAATAGAATCGATCAATAAAGATTTTGAGCTTTATCAGTTTTGTTTTAATAAAACAAAGTTGAATTGAAATAATGAATTTACAAAATACAGGAATCTTTTTTACCCTCACTGGAAAATAGTGGTTTAAAATAATCTTCGTGTGAAACTAACGCCATAGCCACTACACCTATAACAAGCAGCAGGGCTCCTGTTGTTACCAAAATAAACTTTTGGTGTTTGATGATCATTTTGTTAGATTTTTTTCACTATAAATTGAATTATTGTCACACACCAACAGAAGGTAGCTAACAACTATGATTTGTGATGAGAAATTGCTAAAAATTATATAAGTGATTTACAAACAAAAGAAAGATAAGTCACCTAATTTAATTGACGATAAAGAATGGATCGATAAACTAATGTGATAACGGTTTGTTTTTTTGAATAGCGAAAAATGACTTGCCTCACAAGTATGTAGATATTATTAGTTACATTTTTTTTGTGAGATATGTAGTCTCAAATGCAATTATGGATTTAACTATAGATGCAACTGGCACCATAAAAAAGCTTAGACGATTGATGAAGTATAGTATATGATGGAGAAAGATCTGCAACTTATATTATATATTATACAATGATATTATGCTAGGCCAGCCTTAAAAAGTACTTAAGTCTGCACCAGTTGTAACTTAAGTGATTAGTGTAGCACTAAAGAAGACAAAGTAGCTGGTGGAAAGTCGGCTTAAGTTAAGATTTAAAGTACCTACTGGCTGAAAATACATATAAGTAACAATGTAGTCAAATCGTTCAAAGTGAGACATTGTAGTCGAATCTTCTACTAATTAGAGAATTGTATAGAGTGAGAGAATAATGTTAATCATAGGTGCAACTAGAGGGATGCTTGGGGGTGCTAAGCACCCTTAAAGCCAAAAATTAGCACTCCCATGCGGCATCCCACCATAGCACTACCTAACACTAATATAAAAAATCAGTGCAACCAAATTATTATTATTATTTTTTTTTGCACTTTTTGTACTTATTTATGTACGTCATCGATGACGTCATAATTTAGAAAAAAGTATTTGTCGTTGATTAATTCATAGAGCACGTTCGCAATTATTATGGTTATGGAATAAAATTTTTCAATCGGGGCTGGTATTACAAATATTACAATATTACCTTAAAATCAAGACTTACCCTAAAATATACGGTTTTTATGTTATATTTAGGATGACGTCATCGAACAAGGTGAGACAATGTTGTCAATGTCTATGTCCTGTTCACAATCCGATGTCTACGGGTACAGGTAAATTTATCACCTTTCCCTATCAAATAGCATTGAAAGGTGATAAATTTTACCTGTACCTGTGGACATCGGATTGTGAACGGATATGTTTATTCTATATCTCAAGGTGTCTTTGAAATACCGGCCCCTAAAAAATCATTGGAGTCCCAGATATATGAATTAATTAACTGCGTATTATACAGGGTGTTCCTAAATATCATGTACAAATGACAAAGGGTGATTCTTTGTTTTTTTTAAGACTGAAATTTCAAATATGTTCTAAAAAATTGACTTATTCAAGCAAAATTTTAAAAAATCACCCTCTTACATTTTAATTTTTTTCTGGAAAACTTGCAAAGGATAAATTTTGAAAATTTTCCAGGAATAAGAGGAAAATGAGGAGCTCGTTTTATGAAAATTTCAAAGTTTTCCAGTAAAAAATCACTCCAGGAAAAATTTTGAAAAACTAACTTTTTCAAGCAAAATTAAGGAGAATTCACCCTCTTATATTTTAATTTTTTTCTGGGAAACTGGCAAAAGGAAAATTGTGAAAATTTTCCAGAAAAAAGAGGAAAATAAAGAGCTCATTATAGCAAAATTTTAAAATTTTCGAATGAAAAATCACTCCATGAAAAATTCTGGTAAATTGACTTATTTAAGCAAAATTAAGGAAAATTCCCTCTTACATTTTAATTTCTTTCTGGAAAACTGACAGAGGGAAAATTTTCATTTCCAAGAAAAAGAGGATAGTGAGGAGCTCATTATAGGAAAATTTCGAAATTTACCAGTGTGCTGCAGCACCCCTCAAATTTGGAGCCTAGTTGCGCTTATAATGTTAATACCTTAGCATTTAGTTAAATTTTCCATTGACTAAATTTGAGGCGAGTTGTAAAGCCGATTCCTGTCACTCATTTTAATAAAAACTACTCAGAATAATACACCCACACTTGTTTTGATGACCGCGATACTGAAATTTTCATCTTCCGGAAAATAAAAACTAAAAAAAATCAAATTATGAATAAATTGTGTCCCTTTATGTCTGAGCTATGTCAAATGTCTGCCAATAATCTATCAACAATTTATTTTTATCTTAATTTACACCTTTTTAATAGTTTTACAGTACAAAAGATAACATCATCATAAATCCTTATATTGAGTGAATTATGAGTCCATAATGTCGTTATTAAAGAAGCACTTTTACACTGCTTTTATTTTATTGTAAATATTTATTTTTTGATAAAACATGCTAACTAAAACAGTTAAAATTGTCCTAATTTTGGCCGGAGTGGTAATCGTTGTCATTATAGTGGTGGTTCCTTTGGCGATACACCTGATGAGGAGGAAGAAAGTTGATTCTTCCAAAGGTAAGTTTGCTTTTCTGTTAATCATTGTGTTTGTACAACTTCAATGTCCAACATAAGCATTCTAAATGAATCATTTTATAAAAGAAACACAGCAAAACTTGGTGGAGAATTTATTTCCGATATTGAATCAAGGCAAATGATCAAATCGCTTGAATTTAAATGATTGATTGATATAACAATATTCGCTTCTATTTATTCCATGTAGCGTCCTTTTATTCTGAGTACGTATACTCCAATGCTTTTTGCCAAATTGGTAAGAAATTATAAGTCCTGCATTGATAGTTGTAACATATTATTTTTGTTCTAGGTTGTTCAATTGACCCTTTTGAAGCCGACCCTTATCCCTTAATAGTCTTAGCAAACACTAACACATTCCTTTATCCAAATCCTGGCGAGAAAATTTTAAGATTCAAAGTCAACCAACGAGTAGATTTTATTTGCCCTGGCGGTGGCGTAAATGTAGGTTCTTTGGAAACCGACAATGGAGTATTAACAGGAACTTGTAAAAAAGGGACTTCATTCAAAATCAAAAGGAAAACACTTGATTCGTCGGAAATAAGATGTAGAACTCCAATTTTGAGAGATATAAGAGCTACTGGAAACCGTTGCTCATGGTTTGATAGAGGGCAGGAGCTAGAAGTTGGATTTATTGTTGAAGATGGTAGATTTCTACGCACATTATCCATTTGTTTCAATCAAGCTAAACAACTATCTGAGTTCACTTATATCGAACAAACACCTTCAATTAATCAACAAATTTTGGGAACACCCCGACCACCGTGGTTGCAAGGATCGGGAATTTATAACATTAAAGGAACCATCTCTAATTTGTACTTGAAAAAGAACCAGAGAACCACTATTAATCGATTGCTAGGTTTGCCAGACAAATCCACCAAATACATCAAGAATACTGGAGATTATTTCTTGGCACGTGGACATTTGACAGCCAGATCCGATTTTTTTTATGCCGCGCAGCAAAATGCCACTTTTTACATGCAGAATATTGCACCGCAATGGCAAACGTTCAACAGTCGAAATTGGAATCAGATTGAAGCTGACGTTAGAAATTATGCGGCTGCTAGCGGTGTAAATTTACACGTAAGTTTTGGGCACTAGGTAATTCTGTGCTCCTGTTATACCGGAAATAGATGTCTAACACTCAACTTGCTTATTTTAAATGGAGACACTCTATAGGTATGGATTGATTTGGTTCTCGGTGGAACACCTTGTATATTATTTCGCAATTGAAACAATCAATTTGTCTGAGTTTTACAAGAGCTCAAACTATACTGAAAGTGACCATAGTTACTAACTCTTGACTGTTGCTTTAACCTTTTGATAATTAACTCCCCTGCCAGCGACTTCCTGCAAGTTTTCGCAAGGCAGAATTGGTTGCTTGCATACCTTAATAATTAGTCTGTCCATGTAAAATCCAACAAATTTTCAAATATTGTACCAACTTGTAATTAATGTATTCACTTTTAATTAAAATAAATGTTCAAGGTGTGGACTGGTGTTCACGGAATAACGACTCTCCCGCACGAAAAGACAGGCCTACCAACTCAACTGTACTTGTTCGTCAACGAAACATCGAAGCTAATCCCAGTACCGGAAATATTCTGGAAAGCCGTCTACAATCCGAAAACTGAACGCGGCGTTTGTCTGATCGGAGTCAATAATCCTTACCAAGAAACTTTTTCGCCAATTTGCCCGGACATATCCAAAGACATCGATTGGTTGCATTGCGACAGGACCAGTCAGAAGCGAGGCTTTTGTTACGCTTGTAATCTAACGGCGATTAGATTTGCCATGCCGATACTACCGAGGATAACTGATAGAGGATTATTGTTGTGAGGATTAATTTAATAATAAAAAAAAATTATAAGTGGGAAATTGTTTTCTTTCAAATATAATTTATTGTTTCTACACACAATAATCATTCATTTTCTTAGTCCTCTATGTGGCATAGAGTACTTGAGCCGGCTACGCCGCTCGAGAGTTGGGATAGCAGCCCTCAGCGCAGGGTCTTGCAGTTGATATCAGGTAAGCGTACCACAGGTTGCTATACATGGTGATAGCGGTTATTTTTTTCGTGCTTCGAGCGAAAGATATTGGTAAAAAATGATACATTTTCATTCGATTAGTGACCTATCGACTCTAGCTACTTAAGTGAGGTGCTCCCACTAGGTATAGTGCGGATTTTTAGTGTGAAAACGGTCAAGACTTTGGCGACCTGCAAAACGCAGAACCCAGCTAGGTGTTTTAGTCCTTGATACACCATAAGAAAAAAAAAATGATTATCAGCAAGCTGTAAGCTCGTGTATACCTCAAGCGTGACGAGTCGGACAACTTTTCTACGTGGAAAAAATTTGCCCGCGGGAGGTTTTCCTTGGGCACCGCGGGAAAGATGTCGATTTCATGATTTTAAGTTATGTGATAACCAGCAAGCTGATGCTTTCAGGAATTCTTAACTAGGTGTAGTAATGTGTCACTATAACATTGTCCGACAAAAATATTGGGTATTTCCACTTGTCCCCCACCCTAAACATGTTCTTTTTATGATTTTTGGTTATGTGATAACCAGCAAGCTGAACGTTTCAGGAATACTTAATTAGGCGTAATTATGCATCAGTATAACATTGTCTGACAAAAATTATGGGTATTTCCACTTGTCCCCCACCCTGAACATGTTCTTTTTATGATATTTGGTTATGTGATAACCAGCAAGCTGGAAGTTACAGGAATGCTTAATTAGGCGTAATTATGCGTCAGTAAAATATTGTCCGACAAAAATTTTGAGTATTTCCATATTGTCCCCCGCTCTAAACATGTCGATTTCATGGTTTTTGGTTATGTGATAACCAGCAAGCTGAAAGTTTCAGGAATGCTTAATTAGGCGTAACTATGCGTCAGTATAACGTTGTCCGACAAAAATGATGGGTATTTCCACGTGTCCCCCACCCTGAACATGTTCTTTTTATGATATTTGGTTATGTGATAACCAGCAAGCTAAAAGTTTCAGGAATGCTTAATTAGGCGTAATTATGCGTCAGTATAACGTTGTCCGACAAAAATGATGGGTATTTCCACGTGTCCCCCACCCTGAACATGTTCTTTTTATGATATTTGGTTATGTGATAACCAGCACATTTCTGTTATACAGGGTGATTCAAAAGTAAGCGGCATCCTTTCGGGAGCGTATTCCTTGCATAAAAAAAGACAAAAAGTTTCTATCGACATGGGTCCGGAAATGCTTCCTAAGGGAGCTGCGCCCCTTCGAATAGGACACCTGAAAGACGTATTTTTCTCTATAACTTTGAAACCCTTCACATAGGAATTTTGAAAATTTGTGTATTTTATAAACATTTGATGGCAATTAAGATACTAAATTGAAAATTCAAAAATCTTAATCAGTGGCGTCACATACTGAAGAGGGTGAGGGTTAAAACATCCCTATTTTTTTTACTCGTCAGGTTTTTGCTATTCTGATTCAAAATTCGGAAAGTTTAGAGTTTTTTACACAGAAAAGGTACTCTTGGTTCAATTCGATACAGCGCATTTAATTTGTGCTCGAAATAGAAGTGGCAGATTTTCTAATAGTACTGGTAAATTATCTCGTAAAAAAATTGTATAGTTTTCTCCATTTAGCCGCTGCGCTAAAAATACGGGTCCAATCAAATGCACATCGATAATTCCCGCCTACACATTTAAACTTAATTGCTGCTGATGTCCTTTCTGTACCGTAGAATGGGGATTCTCATCTGCCCATATTCCGAAGCCGGCTTCGTCGGTAAATAAAATTTTCTTTTCAAAATGTTCAACAGCAACGCGTTGTTCTTCCAGCCAATCACAAAATTGTACACGGGGATGAAAATCTCGCTCTTCCAATGCCTGAACCCATTTAATATGGTAAGGGTATAACAGCATCTCGTGCAAAGTCTCCAGCTCAGCTGAACTCTGTTTTCAACCTAGTTTGTACAACTGGGCTAAAATTTGTTTTGGCGTTTAATTTTTTTTCAAATTACTAAGGATTGTCATTGTAAAATACGATGGACTTTGCCACATAGTGAATAGTTTGGCAGAGTGCTTTCCACATTCTTATCAATAAAAAGAAGGAAATTCCTTTTTTTGACTTGGTACTTTGTTTATCTAAATTTGGAAAGCAAAAATGGATTCTACTTATGAAAAACTAGTGCCTAAAAGTGTCATTCATTATTTAGAAATAAAAAAACACTAAACACAGATTTGAATTTTGTTTTGTATTTTTATTATATGAATATTAAAAATGTAATTATTGAATTCAACGTTTGGGTTACTCAAAACAGAACTTTGTGTTGTTACCTACTTTCTGGGATTTTAATTATCGATATCTAATCTTGAAGAAAAAATCGCATGAAAAGTGTCAGGTGTGAAGTAAAAGCAGGTAACAAAGATTTTGGGCGTAATCGACTTATTCACATGAAATAAAATTGTGTTTTTTTATTATAAAATGCCAGTAGAAAAAATCTTGTATACAATACGTTACGAAACGATGTCTTTTAGTCACTCGACGTGTTGTCCAACTCGGCTTTGCCTCGTTAGACAATTTTCACGTCGCGTGCCTAAAAGACGCTCATTTCGTAACTTATTATTGTATAAATAGCTATTGGAATTTTAGTACCTACATAATGTGAATAATAGAATGTCTCGAAACATCAATTGTTAAATGTCTATGTAATGTTTTAATAATATATCCGTACCATGTTTTTATAACATTATGGCCTTTTTCTTCTTGCTAGTTTTTACATGTCATCATGTACATATATAACCTAAAATCATAAAACCGATATGTTTAGAGCGGGGGACAATATGGAAATATCCAACATATTTGTCGGACAATATTTTACCGACGCATAACTACGCCTAATTAGGCATTCCTGAAACTTCCAGCTTGCTGGTTATTATCATATAACCCAAAACCATACAATCGACAGGCTTAGAGCGGGGGACAATATGGAAATAGCCAACCTTTTTGTCGGACAATATTTTACTGACGCATAATTACACCTAATTAAGCATTCCTGAAACTTCCAACTTGCTGGTTATCACATATCCCAAAACCATAAAATCGACTTGTTTAGATCGGGGGACAATATGGAAATACCCAACATTTTTGTCGGACAACATTTCACTGACGCATATTTACTCCTAATTAAGCATTCCTGAAACTTTCAGCTTGCTGGTTATCACATAACCCAAAACCATGAAATCGACATGTTTAGAGCGGGGGACAATAAGCAAATACCCAACATTTTTGTCGGACAATATTTTACTGACGCATAATTACGCCTAATTAAGCATTCCTGAAACTTCCAGCTTGCTGGTTATCACATAACCAAATATCATAAAAAGAACATGTTTATAGGGTGGGGGACAAGTGGAAATGCCTAATGTCTTTGTCGGAAAATGTTATACTGACGCATAATTACCCCTAATTAGGCATTCCTGAAACTTTCAGCTTGCTGGTTATCACATGACCCACAACCATGAAATCGACATGTTTAAAGTTTGTTTTTTATTTAAAGATAATAGGGAACTTGCACATTAAATTAAATATGAAATAAATAATAAAATACAATAAAAATCATCCTAATAAATGATGCAATTAGGAAAAGGATATAATATCTAATCTCTGGTGTCCAAAATCTTCAATTGAAAATACCAAATAATTCGAAATTCTTGACGAGATCAAAAACGTATTTCTATGGGTCCTGACGTCAACGGGCAGTAATAATCGGGTCGCACCGCTGCCACGCCATGTGCTGCTGGTGTTATCAATGTCAAATCTATCATAAACGGCATACATAACAACATAACCATAATCTAAATCTACCTGCTCGCAGGTCACTGTCAACCAAGGACTGTGAACGGAATTTTGTTGCTGAGTGACGTCACACTAATCGGTCGTTTCAAATGGCGATGTTTCGAGCGTAACTTCAAAAATTTATAAAAAATTACCGGCTGATTTTTAATGCTCGATATTTGGCATGACTATGTCTTTAGTGTAGTACAACAAATTTTTGAAATAAAAAAAAAATGTGCAAGTTCCCTATAAGCCTTTTCTACATAAAAAATTTGAAAGCATTGACAATTTTACATTGTATTGCCAACATAATGTCATTTTTACTTTTATCTTTAAAAAAAAACAGACTTTAGAGCGGGGAACAATATGGAAATACCCAACATTTTTGTCGGACAATATTTTACTGACGCATAATTACGCCTAATTAAACATTCCTGAAACTTCCAGCTTGCTGGTTATCACATAACCAAATATCATAAAATGAACATGTTCAGGGTGGGGGACAAGTGGAAATACCCATCATTTTTGTCGGACAATGTTATACTGACGCATAATTACGCCTATTTAAGCATTCCTGAAACTTTCAGCTTGCTGGTTATCACATAACCAAAAATCATAAAAAGACATGTTTAGGGTGGGGGACAAGTGGAAATACCCAATATTTTTGTCGGACAATGTTATAGTGACACATTACTACACCTAGTTAAGCATTCCTAAAAGCATCAGCTTGCTGGTTATCACATAACTTGAAATCATGAAATCGACATATTTCTCGCAGTGCCGAAGGAAAACCTCCCGCGGGCAAACTTTTTCCACGTAGAAAAGTTGTCCGACTTGTCAAGCTTAAGCTATACACGAGCTTACAGCTTGCTGGTAATCATTTTTTTTTTCTTATGGTGTATCAAGGACTATTTGTGTTTCAGGTGAATGCGACGGGGCGGTAGCTTCGATGTTGCCAGATCCACTACAACATCGGTGAACTGTAAGATTTTTTTTTTCTTTCAAAGAAAGTAGAATTTTTGGATTTTTTAGTTGATTTTGTCTTCTCT